GTAAGCTGGCCAGAGACTTTCAGTATTGGATGGCATATAAAAGCTTTAAATAAATCAATAAATTAAAGGGGTTGGCACCACTCCCTCTCTCAAAGACATGTTAACAGCCTCCTGGACCCAGGTGTGGACCCGCTTCCTAGATCTCCCAATAAGCTATGATGGACAAGGGTCAAGCAGGCAAGTGGTGGGCTGGACTTGTTCGAGGACCATGCCCACATCATTGTGCTGTAATAACTGAAATTGATTCAATAAAAACAGATCAGACAGTGTGCTGGACACCTCTGCCAAGGGAACTGAGACAATTGTGGTCAGAGTGAATCTGAGCAATTTTGCCCTCAGAAGTGTAATGCAAATTCATCATAGCAGGCTGTTGAGGGTTCAATAATATCTCTTTTGGGTCCAGAGTATATAAGGCCCCAAACCACTCAGAACAGCTCTACTGGGCAGCATTCCAAGGACACAGTGCAGGTGGAATAGAAGTGTCTCTTAGCCACCCTCACCACCATGGAATATGCTCAGTAGTGAGCACTAAGCCATGTTTGGTTGGATTCATCTTGAGTTTTCCTCCACCCTGTGCTCTACCCATTTGCCTTCCTGCCTCTTCCCCCTCAGCTCAGATATATACCAAGGAGCAGGTCAGGCTTTGTGAGTGGGGAGAAGGCACATGAGGGCAATTGTGTCAACTGCCCAGGTCATCTCAATATTCCACAGAGGCTTTGACAGGAGCACCTACCATGCTAGCTGGAAAAACCCCCCGAAGCCTTCTGGAAATCCATAGGGTTAAGGTTAGATTTAGAGGGTGGACCAACTGAATGGGTCCTCCACCCCTCCAGAGGGGAGAGGAAGCTGAAAGTTCAAACCTCAAGATTAATTGATCTGACCGTGATAAAGGGGTAGTTTTCAAACCCCCAACCATCAGATCACCATGATCTTGCCCAGTCGAGAAAACCAGATCCAGAGCATGTCCCTTCTCATGTGTTGGACTGGTGACATATTGAGACAGTCCCATGGTTGTCATGGCTGCCATGAAGTCCTGAACTGCCCTGGATAAGGCAGCCTCAGCATGGAAGTTGAGGTCCCCCATGTCGTGCATGAAGCCCCAACAGAGACAGTGACTCACGAGGAGGTCTTGTGCTTGACACCCTGTGCCCAAAAGCTGACCCCACAACCCAGCATAGAGGCAGCAACTGCACCTCCCTCTGACTCCCGGCCCATTGAGCAAATGCCTGAGCCCTTATCAAAGCCAGAGAGTCCTGAGAGAGAGGAAGCTGCAAGTTCTACTCTGAAGGAGACAGAGCAAACTGTTCCTTCCCCCTCTGACACTGATCTTCGTGAGCCTGAAACAGAAGACACAGTGGACGTGGTGGATTTCTCTAGAGCTGCCAATCCCCGAATTCTTCGCAGATATGAACAGCCACAATGTTTATTACATAATAGGGAAGAAAGGCGTGACTTAGAAGAGTAATCCCATGTGGGCTCAGGGAGAGAAGCCATTAGAGGGTTAACATCTGCATATCAAGGGCCTCAATTGGAGAGCTTACCTGTAGAGTTGTAAATCTTGTAGACAATTAGCATTAAAGGACTTTAGTTTTATTGCTAGTGAATGTGTGGATTGTTTACATACTGGGCGGCTCAGCATGACACCCCAGGACCAACATTCTGGGGATCCTCAACACCAGGTCTGAGACAACTTCTGTCAGCTCAGGCAGGGAGTCTGCTGAGTAGTGGGGTGGATGATCCAGCAGAATCCGTAATCTGTTTTGGTCATCCAGCACCAGATAAAGCCACTCAAGGCCTGAACCCGAGTGGACATGAGCCCTGGAAATGGGGATAGAATCCCTATGAACCACATCAACACCCTCCTTGGCCCTCCAGGCGATGTTGGTGCTGTACCAAATAGCCAAGCAGGCACGGCTGGGAGAGGGTAACCCCTCCAAACTCTCCCATCCAGGTTTCGGTGATACAGACCAGGTCAGCACCGTCATCCATGAATAAATCGTGGATCAGTAAGATCTTATTATGTGCTGACTTAACATTGAACAGCAGCACCAATAGGCCCAAAGGCAGAGTGGCATACTTGAGGGCAAAGCTGTTATCAGGGACATTCTGGCAGGGAGAGGATCAGAAAAGGGGACAGCAGTTAGACATTTGTTCCCATTTCTCCTTTGGCCAGTCCAGCCCTCATCACTGTTACCTCCACCTACCCATAACCACTGTTATGCACGTGCCCTCCATACTCTCAGGGATTGCCAGTCAAAATAAAAGCAACAAACCAAACTTAAAGTACCAACAAAATAAAACCAAAATAAAAGGGGCGGGGGGTGAGGAGCCAAATACTACAGGGTAGGGCATAAAGATCTCCCACATTTTGAAGGGGTATGAAAATGGACAAAGCTATCTAGAAAAAGTTGTGTATATTTCTGAAAAGTACATAAAAACAGTTTTATTTTAATGGGTTTTAAAAATCTTACCAAACAAATTGTGGCCGTTGTTGGGAATACATTGCTGAAGACATTCCCAGTGAGTAATCTCAGGCGGAATGGTGTCGATTTTCTGTCTGATCCTTTTCTTCAAATCATCAAGAGATCGAGGACGATATTTGAAAACCTTTTCCTTTAGGTATACCCAAAGGAAAAAGTCACATGGACTTAAATCTGGTGATCATGCCAGCCACTCCACATCTCCCCTTTACGAGATCAAATGCCCAGGGAACATTTCCCTCAACACTCCGAGCGCATTTCGTGCTGTGTGAGCTGTGGCCCCGTCCTGTTGAAACCATACATGTTCTGTATCCACATTGTCCAGTTTGGGGCGCAGAAAGGTCTCCAACATTTAATCATACCAGTCAGAAGTCACAGTTACTGTTGCACTACCTTCCTCAAAAAAGTACCGGCCAATCACACCAAAGCCGGCAACTGTGCACCAAACAGTTATGCAAGGAGAGTGGAGCGGTTGTTGATGGAGTTCACAAGGGTTATGTTTAGCCCAGTAGCAAAAATTCTGCTTGTTTACGGGTCCACTGATATGGAAGTGAGCCTCATTGCTACCCAGAACAGGTGCAGCAGGAACCTGTTCAAGAATTTCCACACTTAGGGCTCTGCAGTTGGGATGGTTTCTCTCATTTAATTCTTGAGCCAACATCATTTTGTAAGGATGCAGTTTTAAATCGGCACACAGAATCCTCCTCAAACTCCAACTTGATATCCCCAGTTCCATGGAATGCTTATGAGAGGAATGCCTTGGTGATTGCAGAATGAATGCTCTTACTGCTTCTACTTTTTCTGGCGTTCTAACGGTCCTAGGTCTGCCAGGTGATTTTCTTTTCAGTGTGGATCCAGTTGCCCGAAGGTCAGACATCCATAGCAAAATTGTTTTCCAATTTGGTACAGATGCATCTTGATCTAGCGCAAAGCATGTATGAAACACTCTTTGTGTTGCTATCACAGTATGGTTGTTCTCATAATATGCTTGAACAACAAAGCCCCGACTCATGGTGGGTACTGAAACAGTAGAGCCTAACCTATTGAATGAGACCTACCCCACCTCTCTACCCCCGCTACAGCTCACATAGTGCCCCCTTAAGATCTCATTTTTGTAATTCACATTTAACTTATTTTGAAACAATTAAATCAACTGTATAAAATATGGTAAATTATTACTGATATTTTGTATAATATGTAAATTGTATTTAAATGTGAACAGTTCATCAAACAATTGTTCACTTTGGCATTTATCCATACACATGTCTTTTTACAGTAACAGAAGTAAAACACAACCACAAATAAAACAGACCACAAATAAAGCAAAGTAAAATCCCATAGAGGTTATGTTTCCTTGTTCCTGTTGAAAACGGGTTGAAATCATGCACATTTTTGAGCAGTGAATAACATTGCAGCTGATGGCTGGTACTATTCACTTTCTTGTTCAGGGATACCTGTGCTTATCATCCATAAGAGACATTTTGCTATGCTGCAAACTGTACTTTGCTGTAGGTTTAGGAGAAAATATGCCTTTCTTTGCTAACAAATGACACAGAGAAGCTGTCAACTACATAGTGGCATCTTTGTCTTCATGGAATGTTTGAATGTCGTCAAACTGCTTATGCTTTCAATTAATTGGCATGACCAATGCTAGGCAAGAGCATCTAAGAAGCCCAGCAGTCTTATTGCACCAGATGAAACCTGATTAATTCTCTTTTCATCAGTGCTGATAGCAATGAAGCTGTCATGGCAAAGAAAATAAGATACGTAGGTTTAAATACCAGAGTTCCCTGGCACTTTACATTAATGTTTAAGATTTATTACAATCTTTGGTTATTGTTTCTGGAAAATTATTATGAACACTGAAGTACAGCTTTGTGGTTGGCTGTACTCTGCAAAGTACAACAAAAAATGTTCTTTGGCACTTTTTAGCACTGTATTTTAACACATTATTCTAGAAGTCTGATTCCTTGGTTTTGCATAGAAATACAGGCACTTGCTGTTATGCCTATTGCAGGTTGATTGTTTTGATGAACGGTTGTCCCTAGTGGACTCTGTGGATAGAGGTGTTGTCATCAGTAACTAGGTGGTTGCTACTCTGGGCATGTAGGAGCATTAATGGCACAGATGCTTTATCAGCTTGTTAAGTATATGTTAGATTGTTGCTGTTATTTATTAATCCTCTTTTTAAAGAAATATTTTGATCTTTCTACCAGAAGATAAAAGTGTGAAAAGACCGTATCCGAAGTCATATATTTGAATGGTACTGAGCTTTTAAAGTTGCTTCAACTGCTACTGTTGAGTGTATTTTTGAAAAGGCAAAAGACTAAGTATTTCACTTGCATGCAGATAAATATGCTTGTATTCAGTTCAGTAGACAGTAGCTGTCTCTTGTTTGATATGAAATCTCACCACGACTACATCAGAAAAACAGGTGGAAACTTCTATACTGGTTTTTGGCAAGAATCATTGGAGTGAATTCAGATGATGTTTAGTCTTCCTGTATTTCTTCCTGTACAGGAGATGCATCGTCGATTTGAAAATGCTCCTGACTCAGCCAAGACTAAGGCTTTGCAGACTGTTATAGAGATGAAGGTATGTATTCTACACCAGTGGTAAAGAGGAACTGGTCACCCAGAACAAACTATAAAGTATTTCACTTTTACAAATAAGTTTTTTTAATTTAATCATAAGCACCATATAGGAGAATATTAAACAATAAACATTACTAACTACATGAGAGATGTTTGTTCCTCAGAGAAGTGGGTCAAACAGAAGAATGTGTTAAGTCCTTTCTATTTCACTGGAGACCCAAGCTGTCAGAATTTTCATAGTCATTTTACAGTATATGTCAGATCTCCCACACATGCCTTTTGACAACTGTCAGAATATTTTCAGAGCGTCACTGGTTGAAATTCAGATACATGGGAGAGTTTCCCTTTCCATCTTTTGAACTGACTGGTAGTATCCTACAGGAAGGTTTGATAAAACGGTCCTGACAATGAGCTTGATATGTTCGTTGTTCCGGCTGTTAGGGTTTGTGTGCAGGAGAAATCCAAGAAACCAGTGCTAGCTTTGTTCCGTCTTCAAATGATTTTTTAAATTTGCTTAGGTTCTAAGTGTGCTGTCATTGCTTTTTTCTTCTGATTTTAAAATACTGCTCAAATAGAGGCCACTGTCTTAGTTTTATGACTGTAGATAAATGTTTAAGAAGTTGCTGGCTGCAGATTTATAACTATGTATAGAACAATGCCTCTAGGAACAATTACACAGGGATAGTTGAAAATGAACCCCACTCAATTTCTGTTATGTTATCAATTTATGAAAAAGAAACTGAGCTGCATGTTCTTCTGTATATTTTGGAAGGACTCAAAGATCTCATCCATGGAGCGTGGACTCCGAGATTTGGAAGAAGAGATTCAGATGCTGAAGTCAAATGGAGCACTTAGTACAGAGGAGCGTGAAGAAGAGATGAAACAAATGGAGGTGTATCGTAGCCATTCCAAATTCATGAAAAACAAGGTAATTAATAAAACAATTATTATTAGATAATAGAAAAGAATCCTCTAAGAAAGTAATTCAGCCACTGAATCATAGAACAGATGAGGTACTTGTAGTCTACCCTCTCTACTAGTATTCTGTCAAAATAACTGACAGTTTTGGTTTTTTTTTAAAGCTAGACTTGTATAATGGAAGGCTTAGTGGAAGCAGCAAGTTGATCATTGTTAAAATACTTAATGGAAGCTACAAATGTGTTGCCTTAGTTGAGATTAGTGATCCAAATATGCCTTTAGCTATGAATACTCATATTGTGAAAATGGAGCTACCTCACCATAACAAAATAGTCAGGTAATGGTGTTCTTTCTCTGCCAAGCTTCTAGGGGATATGTCATGGAATAGGATCTGAAGTGGAATTTAAGATCTGATCTGCTATATATGCAGAAAACAATATTTCATGGAAATATCCCTGCTGCTCAGGCTTTAAAGGCTAAAACCAGCAATTTAGAATGGTTAATTGCATCCAGAAACAGACTGGGAAGCAGTGCAGCTAATAAAACTGGGGTAACACCATCAAAATCAACAGTTCTGGTTAGTAATCTTATGGTCCTACTTTGACCAACTGTGATTACCTTACTGCTTTCAAAGGCAGCTCCACATGCGACACATTGCAGAAGTCTAAATGAGCAGTTATTCGAGCATGGATAATTGTGGACAAGCTCTCTGCATTTATATATTACAGCAGCTGGTGTTAGCAGCTAAAGCTGATAAAAAGCAATGTTGAACCATCAGCGTTTTCCCTTCATGATGGTGATCTGTCCTCCCCTCATTTTGTCTAATTACCACACTTAGTCTAATTACCAAATGATTGGTAGTATATTCTTATCTAGACAATGACATGCTATCTACTTAATGTGTTAAATATGTGCTGTATCTTGCATGTGAATTTAGGAGGATGCGGTTATTTTAAAGATTGTGCATTTTTATCAAGTTGGAGGGTTTGACAAGTGTTGAATCCTCTTGCTGTCAGTTTTGTGGGGGGTGGGCACAAGCCTCTGTGTTGACTGAGGAAGGTTGACAGGGAAACATTTTAATATAAATTGAAAGGAATAACAATGTCGTGGCAGGTAGAGCAACTGAAGGAAGAGCTAAATGCCAAAGAGGCTCAAGGGGAGGAGCTGAAAAAGAGAGTGACTGGTCTCCAGACTGAGGTCTCTGCCGTAAGATTGACTTTATGTGTGCAGTGCCGCTCATGTGGGCTCTGCTAGCTTTCTTGGCTTACCTTGCTCTCTGCAGCTATAAAGGGCAATAAAACTAACTGTTCTGTATCTGTCCCTTATTCACATCTGGTTGATATATATAATATCTCAGTCTATAATCCACTACGAACATGCCATTTTAGTTACTTCGCTAAGAAAATTATTTTGTATGACAGTTTTACATTCTTTCGAAGTGCTCGAAATAAGATTCATGAGTTTGATGAGCATATGCTGAGCTCTTGAGAGTGACTGGTACAATTTGGCCATTATGAATCCAACAGTATGCCTAGGCCATCTTTTATCAGGCTGTGTATTTTAATAAATAGTGTGTGAGACCAGGAGCAGTTTTCATTCCTCGTGCTGCCTTTAAGAATGTTCTCTGCATTTAATCTCAAAACATGTTTAATGTCTTTGGAATTTACAAGACTTTGCTTTCCTTTTCTAGGATAAAAAGGTAATATTCTGATTGAGACTCAAGAGAGAAATTGTTTTCTGTATGAACCCTGATCTGTGATCTTACTGAAATTGTTCTGCTGCATTCTAATGGGATATTTGTTTTATTTGAAAAAGAACTGTGATTTGAAGATTTTAGAAATGCTGTCTGGTTATAATGGAAAATATGGTTTGTTTGTTTGTTTGTTTGTTTGTTTGTTTAGGGAACTTCTATGCCGCCCCATTCACCGAAGCCTCAGGGAGGTTCACAATCATAAATGAATAACATAATATAAAACAATATAATTTAGCAGTATAAATTAAGTTGCCCTGGCCAAAGAATAAAATAAATAAATAATATTAACAATTGAAATAATGTTTGAATAAAAAGGTCTTCGCCTGGCGCAGAAAAACGAATAACGACGGTGCCAGGCGGACCTCTCTGGGGAGTGCATTCCATAGATTGGGCGCCACCGCAGAGAAAGCCCTCCTCCGAGTACTCACCCTCCTAATTTTCTTCACGGAGCGTTCCCGGAGAAGGGCCTCTCCCGCTGATCTCAAGGGGTGGGCGGGCATATATGGACATAAGCACTCCTTCAGGCAACCAGGACCCAAACCGTTAAGGGCTTTATAGGTCATAACCAACACCTTGAATTGGGCCTGGACTTCAATGGGAAGCCAGTGAAGCTGACGGAGGACTGGAGTCATGTGAACGTAACGCCCAGTCCCCGTCAGCAGCCTGGCAACTCTATTTTGAATCAATTGAAGTATCCGGACTGTCTTCAAGGGCAGCCCCACGTAGAGTGCATTACAGAAGTCCAGTCGGGAAGTCACCAACGCGTGTGTCACTGTCGCCAGGCAGTCATTCTCCAGGTAGGGGCGCAGCTGATGGATCAGCCGAAGCTGAAAGAAAGCACTCCTCGCCACCGCTGTCACCTGAGCTTCCAGTGAAAGCTCTGGGTTGAGGAGCACTCCCAAGCTGCGGACCTTGTCCCTAAGAGGGAGAGCAACCCCATTCAGGACTAGGTTCAATTCACCTTCCCCAAAGCCCGATCTGCCAAACAACAGGACGTCCGTCTTGTCTGGATTGAGCTTCAGTTTATTGGCCCTCATCCAGCCCATTACCTCGGCCAGGCACCGGTTCAGTACAGCCACTGCCTCACCTGGATTGGCGGTGAACGAGAGGTAGAGCTGGGTATCATCAACGTACTGATGATTCCGCAGCCCACACCTCCTGATGACCTCTCCCAGTGGTTTCATGTAGACGTTAAACAGCAAAGGGGACAAAATGGACCCCTGCGGTACTCCATGGCATAGCCGCCATGGCGCAGAGTCATGGTCCCCCAGCACCACCTTCTGGAATCGGCCATTGAGATAGGAGCGGAACCACTGCAAAGCAGTGCCTCCGACCCCTAGTCCCGCTAGCCCATCCAGAAGGATACCATGGTCGATGGTATTGAAAGCCGCTGAGAGGTCCAGGAGAACCAACAGGGATGCCCTCCCCCTGTCTTTCTCCCTGCACAGGTCATCGTACAGGGCGACCAAGGCAGATTCAGTACCGTACCCGGGTCTGAAGCCGGACTGAAATGGGTCCAGATAATCAGTTTCATCCAAGAGTGCTTGGAGTTGTCCCGCCACCACTCGCTCCAACACCTTGCCCAGAAACGGGATGTTGGCCACTGGTCTATAATTAGTGGCCATCTCTGGATCCAGTGACACTTTTTTCAGGGCCAGTCGGACTACTGCCTCCTTTAAAGGGGCAGGTACCCGACTATCCCTCAGAGAAGCGTTAACCACCTTCAAGATCCAGGTCCCAATCCCGTGCTTGGCATTGTTAATTAACCAAGATGGGCAAGGGTCCAGTAGGCAAGTGGTGGGACGTACCCGTCCAAGCACCTTGTCCACATCATTAGGCCTCAATAACTGAAATTCATCCATTAATTAATGGTTTATATATTTAATCTTAAATATTAAGTCTTCATATAAGAGTAAAATGGAAACAAACTTTTCCTGGAGGTTCCTAATCTAATATGGACACTATCTAATATAATTACTGTCTATAAAAAAGAAAAAGAAAAATGAAAGGAAGGAGAAAGATTACATATCTTTGCAATCAGAACTAAGGAGTAATAATTTTTTAAAACCTTGAGAGCTCAGTAGTAAGATCTGAATGGTTGCTATTTTAAATACTGTCTGTGTGGTTTCTTGAACCTACCTTTGTTCGCACATTTATAATTTGTTCACATTATTTTGCTCACATTTTAAAATATTTTTTGCTTTTTGAGGCAGCATAAAAACATTGTCATACAGATAAACAAAAGGATGTAGAAATAATGCTGACAGGGAAAAAACAATTAACATTTCTCAGCAAAGCAGAACTAACCCTAATTATTAAAAGTAGTGTTTTTTCATTCCTGTTATCAACTTTCTAGTGGTTTGTTTGTTTTTTAACTCAAGGCTATGACTGGACACCCTAGTATTTTGGAGGTGGGAGATACGGTTTACTCCTTGGTTGTCAGCAGTGGTCATTGGAACAATATGCCTATTGGTTATGGCTGGCTATCTTCATGTGAGAGCACTGTTTAAATTTTTGGGACATTGTATTTTCTACAGAAGTATTTAAGGATGTACTTACAGAAAAGCATGCATGCATGCAATGAAGCTGACTATCCTTTCCTTTTCTGATTTCCTAAACTAGCTTGGAACTATGCCTTCAAAAAGCCTGACATATTTAAATTGTATTCTAAATTGCTAATAAATGCTCCTTGTTATGAATTTGTATATTTTCTGAGATGCTTTAATTTATAGCCATTGATAACCTTTGATCTCTTGTTTGCTTTTCTTTTAGATTGGTCAGGTGAAACAGGAGCTGTCACGCAAAGATACAGAACTGCTGGCTTTACAGACAAAACTGGAAACTCTCACAAACCAGTTTTCTGATAGTAAACAACATATTGATGTGTTGAAGGAATCCCTCACAGCTAAAGAGCAGAGAGCTGCAATTCTGCAAACAGAGGTGAAGGGCACATCCTTGAATTATTGTTTTTGGTTAATTAATTTGGGGCCTTTTGAATTAAGGGAGGATTGAGGAATGTAATGCTGATCAAGTGACTGACACTGTGTCATGGGCTTGGGCATTCCCTCTAGCTCATTTCAGTTGTTGTGTTAATTCTGCTTTTGAACCACTATCACAACCACAACCAAGAACATTATTCAGAAGATCAAGGGTCCATCTAGTCCAGCGTACACTTTCCAACATTAACTAGGCAGATCTCTGTGAAACATACAAGGCAGGTATGAAGGCAACAGCCCTTCCCCTTCATTTATCTCTAGTATCTGATATTCTGAAGCATGTTACCTCTGGAATATTCATCTTGCTGTCATGGCTTATTGATCACTATCATATCTAATGATAAAAGGAATTAATCTGCCCCATATTTTTAAGCTGTCTCAGCTAGTTCAATCACCAAATTCTTTGCGATGGTTTCCACAGCTACACATTATGTGAAATAATTCTTCCAATTGTCTCTTCTGAACCAATCAGTCAACTTTATAGGGTGATCTGGGTTCTTATATTGGGGTGGGGCTGTTCACTCATAATAAAAATGGTTACTGTACAGTTACCTTTCTTGCCTTGTGTCATGTGTTTGCACATTCGCAAGCAAACTATTCACAAGCAGTCTCCATGTGCCTCCATTTTCCCTCCAAGTGGCAGCATACAGTTTATCAGCCCACACAGTTGGAACCCAATCCTAGTGCACACCACTCCTGCCTTTGTCACGTGTCTTTCCCCTTTGGTCTGCACATCTCCCTGGGTGTGTTCTCAGTTGGTCACTGCTTTCTTTTCTTCCCTCCTGCTCTGTAGAGTTCCTGTTTATTCATTACAGTAGCATGGCTGCTGCTACAGCAGCTGCTCTCTGTCCTCCCTTCTGGTACACACTGCCAATGCCCAGCTGACTGGCTGATAATTGTATCCCATGTGTCACTTAACCCTCTTACTACTTTTCTGCTTGGTGCCATGCCAGTTTCACAAGGTACACACATGTGTGACTTGCAAGGCTGGCATGGCACTGAGATGGCAGAGCAGTGCATGAGATGCGTGAATGGCTGGTCAGTGCTCAAGGTGGGTGATTGGCCGGGCATCGGAGTGTGGTGGCAGCCAATCAGTACCCTGTCTGCCAGCAATTCATCCATTGCTTGGTTAACAAGGGCCATGGAAAATGGCAGCTGAAGCATCTGTGGCCACCAAACTCACTGGTTGAAATGGAGAAACCACAGAAAAACATTGTACCTGGCTTCACACATAACGAGCAGCAATACTGAAATACGGAAAACTTAGAATACACTGTTGGTTTTCCATGCTGATTGAGTAACCCAATGTGCCACATTTCATTATGCTTCTGGTATTCATACATATCTGCATGCCATTCCTGACAAGGCAGATCTGTATTGAAATCTCTGCTCTACTTGATTGCCTCCATTTTTTAAACTTTTACTTCTTTGTTGATTCAGTGTATTGTTTTCAGTCAATTGTCACCAGGACCACAAGATTTCCCTTGGACAGTGACAACCTATGCAAACCTTTTCATTGCATACATCAGGTTTAGGGCTTTTTCCAGGATATGTAATGCTGATATATCTCATTTGCCACCTTGTTGCCCATTCACCCTACTTGAAGAGCTACTTCTACAGGTCTTGTGTTCCTCTGGATTTCTTGGTGCTCTACACAAACTTGGCTACTCCTACAGATTCTGGCAGTGTGCATACTAATTACTTCTTTCCAGTGTGAATACTGTTGGTTTGTTCTTACCTTCTATTTCCTGTTAAGTCCATTAGAGCAATAATCTCCTTAGTGAGGATTCAATAACAAACATGATTAAATGAATCAGATTTCCTTCTTAGAGTTGATCTGTAGCTTCAGACTCGTGTTTTATATTAACCATAGCTCATTTCAGTTCATATGGCACTTAACTAGAGTGAAGGCTGACAAGAAAAAATGAGAAGGAGGAGGAGTTGTGTGATCTTATCTACTGGCAGTGTCTTATTGACTATAGCTGAATTAAGCAAAGTACTGAAGATCTGTTTTCTCTACTGCTGTTGTTTCTGATCTATAATATATTCAATATTCTTCTTAGTCACCTTTACTCCATTCTAATCTTTCTCTCACTGATGGATATGAACATATTGAACACATCAGATTACTTGAAAGCAGATCAACATCCATGAGCAAGATGCCTTTGAGGAGAAATCAATGTCCATATATGTCATCTATCATTATGTGGTGCCAGAGTTCTCTTAGTTGAGTTAGTAATGTGAGTAGGATGCTGTCTTATACTGAGTGAGTCCATCTAGTCCAGTATTGGCACTGACTGACAACTGCTGTCCAGGATTTCAAATAGGAGACTTTTTAGTTCTTGTTGGATTAGAGATTGAAACAGGGGTTTATCTGCACACAAAGCATGCGCTCTGTCATCAACCCATGGGACTTCTTAATTCTTTAATATATTCTTAAAGTTATTAAAAGCAGAGGTTATAACATTGTCATGGCTCTTATTCTGGTTGCAGTGTTGTCTCCTCATTTTGGTGCTTTGTCCTATTTGTTAAGCTGACAGTACACATATTCTGACAGATGTTATATTCTCAGAATATCACAAATAGATTTTAAGCATGATCCTGTGTTTTCATATTCCACTTCTTAGGGAACAGAATTTTTTTATTTGCAGTTGATTTATTCTGGAAGGCTTCCAACTGTAAACGTAACTTAGGTATGAGTTTCTCTACTTGAGAGAAGACAGTATTTTGACAACTTCCTTTAAAAATAGGTCTTTTGACATGGCTAATTGGAGTTTTCTGAAACAGACATATACCAGTCTCATGTTTCCTCACACTTTCCTGAACATCTATTCTTGAAAAAGGTGAAAAACACTGGGAAAAACAGATGTAGCCCAAAAAGTGAGGAGATTTTGCTGGATGAACAAATGATGATTTCAAGTGGTATGTAGTTCAAAGGTAATGAATTACACACCACTTTTGCAAACTAAGGTTCCCTGCTGCCTTGGCGTCTTACTGGACATTTCATTATTTGGCATTTGTCAGATGGGAAGCAAAGCAACAAATTAATGTATTTGAAGTCTTGCTTTGAATAGTGCATACTGTACTTTGACAGAAGACCTCATTTGGAGCATTGACATGGTAAGGCTGCACATTTTTGTACAGTTCTAAACTACTGATCCCCTCAGAAAATAAACATTAAAAATTTATGAGCAGATTGGCAAAAATCTTAGATGCAAAAAGACTTAAAAATGGTTGGAGAACTGGTGACAATTGTTCCAATATGCTGCTTGAAACATAGTGACATTTGAAGGAGCTCCCAATAGTTGTCACTTTAAAAATCACAAAAAATGTTCTTGTGAGGGAACAGTAAAATGAAGGCTACAGCAACTATAAGGGGGATCACTCTGGAGAACACCAGGCCAACGATGGTTACTCCAGTGTATCATTTTGGCGCTTGACAACAAGGTGGTTAGTGAAAGTAACCTGGGTGAGCTCTGTGAGAGTGGCAAGAGCTTTCCCAGCAAGATAAGATCCTCTTCTTTCTGTCTTTCTTTCTTTCCGACTGTTCCTGCTGCCCTCCAACTTTTCCACCCTTTCCCTAGACTCCGAGAGCTTGGGAAATTGGAAAACATGTGAGCCCTCCCATTTATAGGACCTATGAAACCATTGTATGTCCCTGTCCAAAAAAAAGTCTATTAGCTCAATTTTAGAAGGAGGGCAGACCTTTGCTAATTTCCATGCTTCTTTAATTTAGTCACCTACTGGCTTTGATCATCCAGGTTTAGGTGACATGGTAGTTGTTAAGGGTCCAACAACCCTTAAAACAGCCAACAGTCTAGGTTTGCATGGCATGACAACTCACAATGGCTACATATCCAGGATGGGCATTTGGGCCATGCAAACTCAATATTTTATTTCCTCTGTTTGGCTAATTAAATGGTGTAAATGAGCCATAGGAGGGCGCCAGCATATCAAGTTATCTTAATATTTTATTTTCTAGTCTGTATCAATATAGTTATAAGCATCAGCCGCTGCTCTGTTATATTGGGAAAATGTTTTCAGATTTTAGTGGATGGTCTGCATTTGCTGACTTTCTTACAGTGCATGAAAAGTTGAGTTGGTACATGGCTTTCCAAAAAACTCTTCAACTTTGTGTTGGTTGCAGACAACTTGTTGAAATTATAAACATCAGACTGTGGCTATATATTTTATTTTGTATCCTTGGTCAAAATATTAAGTTGGGTTCATGTGTAGACCTTAAATATTAGGCTGACAACAATTACCTGTAATAACTAGTAGCATTTTCCAGTGGTTCTTGCTGACACTGATAATGAAATACTGAACTTTCTCCACTAAGTTTGTAGTTTATTTATTTATTTATTTATTAAAACATTTTTATGCCGCCCCATTCGCCGAAGCCTAGTTCAAACCAGTTTCAATTGTTTGGCCTATAAGCTTGTATGAAGAACTTTTCTCATTTCTGTTAGTAATATTTTATATCTTTCTAGACAATACAGACTAGTCCATAGTTGTCATTATGTGACAGTTTTGCCAGTGGCTAAGATACTTAATTGTATGCTGTGTACTGAATTTATTCTATATGACTCTGTGTGCATAACAAACATTTCCAGGATATACTGTTGAGATGAGATAGCATATGCTTCTATTCTGGTTACCCTATTTTTATAAATGAGCAGCTAATATTGTGCCAAGTGTTTGTAAAACCAGCACCTTGAATCAGCATTACATTTTCTTAAACTCTGGTGGTCTAAGAATTAAGCATTTTTAGCTTTCTTTTGCCATATTCTATTTTTACCCTAAAGGGTTTTCGTAACGATGTTAAAGGACAGGAAAAAGGTATCTCAACTGCAAACATGTGTCATGATGCTCAGTGGGCTAGCTTGAATATTGCACCATTTAATATGATAAAATGAGCTGTAGGAAGGCTCAGGTTCACATACT